AAATTATATAATCTACTGATAATGATAATCTCTGAGTTTGTAGTCGAGTGCCTTCCTTTTATGAAACCGGTTTGGTCAGGACGAATTAAGAAAGGAATTATCTTCTCTAATCTTTTAGAGAGAGCTTTACAAATTATTTTAACATCAACATTAATAAGGGAAATGGGACGATAACTTGTAGGTAGTACTGGGTCTTTACCTGGTTTTAATAGGAGACTTATGTTGACCGAATTCATATGTAATGGAAGCCTGGAAATTTACACTCTGATTTAATTGCATATTTATTAAAGTAACAAAAACATGAGTGCAGGTTTTCTGTCTAGACATGCGTTGCTAAAATTAGACCTGCCTGTAAACCCTCAGTATCAGAACCCGCTGGTGGCATTCGTTAAGGGGGTCACCGGTTCCAYCAGGAGGTCACAGAAAAGGGCAGCGAACCCGTCTGATGACCTGAGAGGATGATAATAAACTGATCCAGAAGACGTGGAGTCCTGGTGGATTTAAAACTAAAAACTAGAAAATGCAAACAGAAATATTGTCAGTGCGAGGCGCACATGAACAAGCATGTTTATAAGGCAGTAAATAATGTTTATGCTTAGAGGGGATGAGAGGCATTTATGGGACTTTGTAATAAAAGTCAAAGATACTAAATATGCTCAGAAGAAAAAGGTCAGGGGAGATTTTTGCACTGAATTTTCCTGCTTTACGGGATGTAAAATTAACTATTTAAATCCAAAAAAATGATGGACTCTGGGTCCACCGTGGTCTAACAAGTCCGATCTTTAWTGGACCGGCTGGCAGTGGATGGTGGGGCGTGGCGTCGCAGGACGCCAGCGATAATTAATTTCCTGCTGCTGTAATCAAAGCTCTCTGCGAATTAATCAGCATCTGTAAGGTGTTGCACTGAGATGTGTGCAGAGAGAGAGGCATTGTGGGAAACGGGGGTCCTGTGAGACGGTGGTTGAGTGTCATGGCTGTTTGATTAAGGTTAACATGATTCATTGGATGATGGAACTAATGGCACATTGGACGTGCTGTACTCTGATACTGTGAGTCTGARGCAAACCCGGCTGCCTCCTTATAACCTTTTATCTCTCTTATCACCATTAGCCAGGAACTTTGATAACACAAAAAAGGGCCCTAAAGTGTCAAATCTTATCTACAAAGTGGATGAACGCTACAGGTGAGCTTTATTAAAAACACAGGAAGAAATGAACGGGACGATTTAACGATGCTTTGAAGACAACACAACTCCCGACTGAAAACACAAAATGTGATGCAGGTAACCAATCACACAGATAGAAGTCAAACAGAAAGACGTGCAAAATGACAATCAACTGGCTGGTTAAACAACCAAATTACGCCGGACTTACTTTTAATGGGAAAAGAAGAAAACTCGAGCAATTGGTTTCCCGRGCTTTTTGAGGGGGAGGTTTTCTCTACGACTATTGTTAGGCTGAACATTTCTCCAAGCACAGGTGCTCAGGTTCACGTACAGTGTTTGATGGCTTTGTGTAATTATTGCCCACCTCTGGAGGCGGGAGGCGATTCTGTTTTCACCAGTATGTGTGTGCATTCCTTCGGTTGTAGCGTTAGCAACAGATTTCATGATCCAATAAAGCAAACACAAAAAATAGCTATCACACAATTTTACAAACACATGTGAGACTTATTAACTATTACCATCAACTCTGTCTGACGGTTAGCAAAATATCTCCCAAATCACTGGATGGRTTTAACTTTRCAGCTCMACAGTTTAAGGATTCAACYGAATCCAAGATGGCTGCCATAGCGAATCGATATGCTAAAAATGGCTACAAGTCAGTCAGTTTTACAGATATTGAAGTAAAATGAACTGTTATTATGTGGTTATTGTTATTTTTAATGTTTGAAATTAAAAAAATAAATAAAATTAACCCACACCTTTGTCAATTATTATAAAATGATCATTGTTTAAACCTCTGGCATCAAAGAGGTGGTGATATATATTTATTGAGGTAATGATAGATTTTTTAGTTAATAACCTAAAAAGGGACAAATTAAAGGAAACATCAAGTTTTTAAATCCCTTTTCACATTTAAATCCTTCAGTTGGGGTCTACATGAAGTGTAACTGTAATGCTTTGATMTGAATTTCTCCTTATTGTAGCTCCACAATCCCCTCTTTCACCCCTTTACAAAAGGTGTGTCTCACATCAACTCATTTTGAGTCTCTTTAAATCCAAATGAGGTGCTTCAAACCCCTCCAGCAGAGAGATGATTATATAGCAGTGCAGAAACTTCTTATTACAAATTAATTAAAAGATGTCAACAACAGAATGACTTGTCCATCCCCCGGGAGAAATTAAGTTCAAATTGTTTGCACTCCTAGAGACTCCAAGTACACAACAAAATGGATTTAACAGTTGATTTTCCATATGCCCCCTGTAAACTTCAACAATTTCAATGTCAAAAGAAGCATCATGTAATAAGTTTTGAAACAGCTACCTGATGAACACAACACCTRAACTGGTTTCTCAAACTGCATCTCAGAATTTGTGGTTCACAGAAACTATTTAAAAAAGGTGGGTTTTTTGTGTTGCCCCCTTTAGATATTTGTACATAACTTTAGTTTTTGATACTGTTTAGGATTAAGTGTAATTAACAGGAAAAACAATTCCATTCTATTCAGGTGTCCCACATTTATWTTGTTCAAGGTGCTTCACTGAAACGGGAGCAGAAACATCATTAATGCTAATTGTTACACCTGTGCTGAGTTTTTTTCTTCCTGATGTGATTTTTCAGGATGTTCTTGTTGTGTCAGAGCAATAAAACGTCTGTTGAGTTAATGACTCCACTGATTCATTCACACTTTATTGCTGTATTTCACAATGTACGTTGGTATTTTATTTCTGATCATTATTTTTAAAGGACAGTGATTTGATATAATACTGTTGACATTTATATTTTTTCCTTTAAACATAATTTTATTTTTTTTTACAATGACTTGTTATTTTAAGAAAACTAGTTTGATAATTTGGAAAAACATGACTATCTTAAATTTTTAAGAAAACCGCATCAGTTATTAGCAAMATTTATGGCTGTTTTTGGCTTCCATAGCTGAGGACACATTTGTTGCTCAAATGCTTTGGTAAAACAGACCCAAGTAAAGTTTTAAAAAGATGGAAAATATTCTCTTCTCATTAGGACTTCTCACTTTTTAATGACTTGGCCCGACGTGTTGACTTGCACCAACTGAAAGCAACATCTGCTCCGCTCGAGATTAGTGAGGTTGCTCAACTCACCGTCTACGCAGGCCGGTCTCGCCCTGGTGGTGCCGGCGATCTGGCCTCTCCGGCAGGCGCAGCGGGCAGTCTGCCTGGCGATTGTCCGTCTGGGAACGCTGCTGTCTCTGTTGAGCATCACTATCTCACAGGTTCCCACCGCCAACTGGCCTGCCAAACACAAGAGAGAGGGAAGAAGTGCATCGCATTAACATAATGGGATTGTAATTAACATGTTACAGAGGAGCAACTGGTGTTTGAAGGTAAAAAAAATAATAAAATAAAAAACAGGCTGCCTGTTTGTACAGAATCTCATTTTTGCTCTACATGGCACCTGATAGCTTTATCAGTATAAAATCTTAGTATCAGTAAAATCAGATGTATAAGAAAAGGGTTTTGATGCTTTAATACTTCTTTCATCTTTACAGTACTGATCATGTTCTTTTAATAAAAGCTTTTGGGGTCAACCTAATGGGTACTGTTTGTATATTTAAGTCACCGAAAGTCCATTTGAAAAAATAAAACTCTGCACAGCTTTCTTTTTTCTTTTCCATTGTCACATAAAGGTTTGTAACTATTCACTTCATTCTTTTGTTTTGATAAAGAGATAAAAAGTTGAACGTGTGTTTGGGAGAGGTAGGGATTAGTGAGGACTGGGGGTGGGTCCAGTGTGACTTAAAATGTAAGAATGTAGGGCTTTGACAAAAATAGGTTGGGAACCACTGCTTTAAAAAAGGCAAAAGTATCAAACTCAAGGCCCGTGGGCCAAATCTAGCCCTCTGTAACATTCTATCTGGTCCTAAAAGGTAATTAAGTGTTAAGTGTAAAAGCAACACCCTACGAACCAGACAAACACAATTACACACAAATTCACCACTTTTTTGGTAACTATGTGAAAAGGAGTATGAAGAAGTTGAACGCATATATTTAAATTCTATACCATAATAAAGTAACTATGTCACGTTCAATTATTAAAATGCTGTTTATATGTTTAACTAGAAATTAAACTTGACTTTTGTTTCTCAACGCCTTGAAATTGGCCTCTGTCTCTTTAAGAACGTCCTTCTGCTTCTGTTCTGCCCATTTCAGCACGGGCCGGGTGTTTGTGCTCTGCGATGAGGAAGCTCAGCTTGGAGACATAGAGGAGGAGCTAGACCCAAAAGGCGGTTCTAGGCCCAACTGGTCGTTTTTGCCTCCCTGCCTGGTTGCTTCAGGACACTACAGGATTTCTCAAACTTGCATGAATGAGTCAAAGTAAGACTCGTGTTTTTGATGAGAGGATAACATAACATGATATAAAACTCAAATTTGATTTTATATTATRTTGCCCCTTTAATTATAGCCATTTTCCATCCTGTATATCAAGACACGAATAATCTTCCTTTAAATGTGGAACAGCTTTATGGTTTCTCTTTTTGTCAAATTCTTCTCATGACAGCTGGCCAACCTTCAAGCCAAGAAAATGACGTGTGAATGTTCCAGTAATCTTTGATTTTGGTGCGGAAACAGAGAATGGACTTTATTATTTTTTTCGTATTCTTTTCTTATTTTAACAACAAATTACATTTTCAGTGAGAGTTTTCTTTTTTTTAAACCAGATTTTATGAATTGTGATAAAATATATATTTAAGTTATAATAAATGAAAAGAAATGAAGACGTGCTTTTTCTAAATTTGATCCATTTCTTTACCCTTTACGTTATGTATGTTCTAAGTGCAAAAACATAATTTGGAAAAAGTCCTTTGAATTGGTATTATAATAATAATATGTTATATAACATTTCCTCAGCAAATACTGACAGAATAATACGTTTGTCAAGGCAGCTGAAGGTTAACCAGCTTAAAAATCAGCAGTAMTGAATCTGAAAGCTGCTATTCAAATAAAAAAGTATAAAAACAAAGTTCAAACATTTTTGTCAAATAAATAACAAGACAACATGAAACGAAACAGATTTGTTCATGTAGTTCATGTTAATGTGGGCCCAAGAATGACAACATGCAGTTTGTGAATTTGTGTTGATCAGAAACCAAAGTGGGAAGAGTTTGCCATTTTTAAAACACAGCAAGATCTCAGATAAAAGTAGATGCAGATGCTTTAGACAATAATCAAAAGAAAATCAAAACTATACCTCCTCCTGGTAAAAAAAACAGCACTCTCACATACAATTTGAGACCAATATTTTCTGTGCTCAGATTTTCAATTTCCCATGAGCCACAGGGACAGCACTAGAATATATTTTAAACTATTGGAAGTTCACTGGTGGAATGGTTTTATTTGAGAGTTGAAATGAGTTAAAGGAACACATACCACAGGCAGAAATAATGTGTGGTTGTGCTTCTATGATGAACCAGTTTTCAGGTAAAACTCCTCCGAGACGCCAAATGAGCAGAATTTCTTACAGGAGGTGGTTCACTTCTCCACAAATCTCCCCAAATATTTTGTGAGCTACAATTGTAATTCTGTCCAACCACACCCAATTACTGCAAAAGTCTTAAGGCAATACAAGATAATAAGTCTCTAATTGGAGAAGAAAAATGTTAACTACAAAATTTCCTCCTCTAATTAGAGAAGCTTTCGTTTTTGATGATGTTTTTAGCTGGGGTCGGTGCAGCTTCTCTCTTCGTTCGTTAACACGGAAAGACAAGAGTTTTTGTCATCTTGTCTTTATGTCAGAGAATGTAAGAGTGTTGTTTAAATGTTTCTAAAAAATGTTTTAAAAGTGTRTACCCCGCCTCTTCCACAGAGACTGCTGGAGATCCAGCCAGCTCCCCACGACCCGGAGGAGAGGCTGGTAAAGAAAGATGAATTATTAAGCTTTATTTACAAAAATTTCCTCTATTAAAATTCAGATCTCTTCAGCCTCATCAAAATCATTTTTCTCTGAAAGTTTATTTCTGCATCCCTGCTCCTTTTTGTTTTCTTTTAGTAGTCTTAGTACCTAGCTAATGTAGGCTTTTTTTTTTGGCTATTTTTGGTATTTTGCTACAGGTTTCCTAATTTTAGTTTAGCTTTGCAATGAGCCTTTACCTACAGTGTTGCAAAGTTTAGCCTTTAGTTACGATTCTGTAAAATTATGCTATAATTATTAATTTTAGCTTTTAGCTAATGTTGTGCCAATCTATTGTAAATTTAGCCCTTAGTTATGTTTTGTTAACTTGCTATGATAGTTAATTTTAGCTTTTAGCTACAGTTTAGCTTTTAGATACAGCTTTGATAAATTATAGTTTTGGTTTTTGCTAGTTTAAAACTGCTAATTTTAGCTTTAACTAAATTTGTACTATTATTAAATGTAGCTTTTAGCTACATTTAGTGTTTAGATACAGCTTTATTAAACTGCAGTTTATAGAGTTTTGCCCTTTCAAAACTATTGTTTAATTTTAGCTTTTTAGCTACTGTTTTGTTAACTTAAGCTATTATTGTTAATTTTAGCTTTTAGCTACAGTTTTGCTCATTTTAACTTTTAGGTACAGCCTCGTTAAATTGTAGTTTTAATCTCAGGTTTTGCTCCTCTTAAACTACAGTATTACTAATTTTAGCTTTTAGATAAATTTGTATTCATTTATTAATAAATTTAGCTTTTAGCTACAGGTTAGCTTTTAGATACAGCTTTGTTAAATTTGTTTAATGTTTTGCTACATTTAGCTTTTAACTGCTACTTTGCTAATTGGAGCTTTAGACTATTGTTTTACCCTGTTTAGCCTTTTGCTACGGTTTTACTCATTTGAGCTTCAGCTATTTTTTGTTCAGCTTGTTCTGCAGCAATTCAGTTAATTAATTCTTTAACACATTCAGCATCCAAGCTGTACTTTCTCAAAAAAGTCAGTTTCTCTAGCACTGATTAGCTGTGAAAACTTCCCGATAGCCACAGGCAAACAAAAGAAGAGTTATTATTATTTACATTTATTACATGAACTCTGTTAAGGGCTTCTGTAGCTGCAGTGGTGGTTATATTTCTGTAAATTGTTTGAAAACCCGAGGGAGCATATTTAATTGTATTTTACTTAGGCCTTTCTGGTATGTTTGAGTGACTTATTAGGTGTTAATAGTCTTGTGTTTTTTTAGATAAACAAGCTTTAATTACAATAAAGTGCTCGAGGCATCTGCTGCTTCGGAAAACCCATTTTGAATGTTGCAGAGTAGATGACTCATTTCTCGGATCACATTTGTTRTTTGGAATCACAGCTTGTTCGAAGCCTCATATACAAATGAAGAAAACCAATCAATAACCTGCTGAACTGCAGTTGAACATTAAAATTGTAATGAGACGACAAAGCTGACTGCAGGAAAACTTTTCAAATAAACACCAATACAAGTACAGTTTGCAGAGTTTTACTTTGTTTCTCATTAGGTTTGAACTAGATAAAACCAGTGGATTCCCACCACTTTTTGTAATGAGCTGAAAAAAACAACAAAATATTTTGTTTTTCTTCCATAGAAAACTGCCAGTGAGAGTACAAAGCTGACAGTGAAATAAAATGAAATCAGCTGAGGGAAGGCAGAATRGAGAAGAGTCTCTGCTGCCGTTTATGTAAGGCTGATCTTTGGCATTCACCAACCATCGTCCCTCCACTCTGCTGCTTCTAGTCAATCCAAAACACTCTCAAAGGTTCATTAAGTGACCATGAAATGAGCGCAATACCAGCAAAGGTTGAAAGGGTTGTTGATAAACTCAAATGACTCATAAAATTACTAAAGCCAGGGCCGAGACAGCCACATTTCAAAAGTGGCTACCTTTCAGTGACACTCTGACCTTTCTGCTCGCAGAATCAAACGCTGATCTGATTAAAATAAAAATCTCTAAAAGTTGGTCTGTTGACAACAAAGCCTTTTTAAAATCCTTACAAAAAGGGAACAAAAATAAATGAAACAAGCAGTCGTTGAAGGAATACAAATGAATTGCCACAACGCATTTAGACGGTGGGGTCCTCACCTGATTAGGCAGTGGTTTGGCGGGGTGGGATGGTGGGGGGTCGTTAGGKGGTGTTCATGGTCCTCAAGAGGCAGCCATGACTTTTACTTGCTAGCTTTGATAGCTCTGAGCAAAGACAAAGATCTGGTGCATGCATGTGTAGGGGAGGACTCTCAGCTACTACCACCCCAACATTTAGTCTTAGCTCAGTATCTGGACTGTCAACTATTTATAGCCTTTTTTGTTTGTTTGTTTGTTAAGT